AGATACCATTATTAACACCATTTCAAAGATGATGAGACTAGGGTTCAAGGAATTTGAAAAATTTATCCTAAGTTACACAGCTAAGAAGAAGAGAAGGTGAAAGAAGAGCCTGGTAGTGTAACTCCAGAACCTGTGCTCTTAACTATTATGCCAGGAGCACTGTACTCCAGTGTTTAAGGGAGGTGGCTAAAAAGAAGAGAAGGGCTTGGGCTAGGCAGACTGAGAATTATTTGAATAACCGAAACGGTAGTGCAGAAAGTTAAGCACAGTTTAAGCCACCAGCCTCAGTAAAAAGATGAGGTGGTCCTACTTCCAAAAGCCATGGGAGTAGTTCTATGAATTGGAACCAACTCGATAGCATTGGCTGTTGTTTTTGTTGGGGGGAGGGGGGATAGGTTACAGTTGTTACAATTTGATACTTTCAGTTCCAAATAATGAAGGTAGAAGGAAACTGAAAAAACACCTAAGGAGGGATAGATGAGATATAGCTAGATTTTGGTCAACTTATATTGAATCAACAGCCTTCGTGGGCCCAGCCTTAGCTGGATCTTTGTCAACATCGCTTGACATAACCAACTATAGAAGGGGACAGAGGAAAAGAAGATGGGCAGCCCCTGTGGGCAAAATATTTTTGGAGAATCAGCTGAGGATCTTGCTAATGATTTCAAAGGTTTTAATAAATTATCATTTCCTTCCCTACCCTCTCCCATCAGTTTTTTCTACATTCTTAGTCCATGAAGATGAGTCCAAGCGATTTAGATGCATCTCTAATTCTGTTACCAGAAAACTATTGTTGGGTGGCCTTAGTGGGGCTGAATCTGGGATGGCTTTAGAGGGGCAGTAGTTACTTCCTAACTGCTTATTTCCCATTTCTCTTTTCTCTCTTTCCTTGTGGGAGGTGGGGTTACCACCTAATAATTTTAAAGGCGTCACCAACATATATTCCACTTATTTGCCAGAGGCTAAAATAAAAAGGGCTCAAACCCATTTCAAAGTAATTTGCAAACACAGCTGAACTTAATTCAGAACTCATCTTAATAATGGTCAATTGGAAATCTATCTGTACCTTAGAAAAAGTGTTTATTATATCCTAACAGTGTCCTTGAGTACAATAATTGGATAATGAAAAATGACATTTACTCAAGAAACACCTGTTCAAGGCACTGAAACAAACAACATCATACATAGCACTACCTTTTTATAACAAAAACCTTATTCTCGATTGGCCCATGCATTTCCCTGCTTTTAAGAAATCATACTCAGTCCTGTTTATTTAAGAAATAAGAACTAGTTTATTATCTTAGCAAGGATTTAAGACAAATCACGTCAAAATGTTGACTCTTGGATGACTGGAATGAGATGAACTTTTGGAACGAGCAAAGGACATTACAGATGAGAAAGGAATGGGGCAGGGGCAGAACAAAATTTTCATTCAGTCCATAGTCCAAAAAATTCCAAATAACAATGAGAGAGGAGGAAGGCAATTAACACCAGATGGAAGCATATGCCTCACACAAAATTTGATGGAGGAGCTTTTAAATTTTCTGAGTGACAAGACTAATTCTCCCACAGGGAGTTTCTGAGGAGACACTTTAAAAAAAATCATTTTATTAGGGACTCATACAACTCTTACCACAATCCATACACACATCAATTGTGTAAAGCACATTTGTACATTCATTTCCCTCATCATTCTCCAAACATTTTCTCTCCAGTTAAACCCCCGGCATTAGGTCCTCATTTTTCCCCTCCCTCCC